GGGTGCGGACGCTGCATGTGCTTTGCGGCGAGGATCCGGAGTGACTCGGATAGCTTATTTTCAGGCAGAAACGCCTCTGATAGGTAATGTTATGGTTACCACGGAATGCTGTGTTCCTTGGGTGCGGTGAGCTATTTTTTTTCACAGCTCCCGCTGTTGTCTGTATGAAGAGGGAGTGTCTGTGAGTGCGGCAGGCGTGGCGAGTTCATTCTTGCGATAAAAACATTATATGGTCTTTGTCGTGAAAAAACGCGCATGAGGAGGGGAGATTCCTTTTTCGAAAGCGGAATGTTTGGTGGTCTCCGGAAGTATATATGTGCACAGATGGCACCGGATGGGCGTTTCATGGATCCTTCGGTTAGGTTAAGCGTGTCGAATGGAAATACCGTGAGATGAGATATGTACAGCAGTAGGGCAGTTGCCGCGTTGGAGTTTTTTTTAAGTTTTTGAGCCGTGAAGATTTGCGCTGAAGCTGACGTCATCATCACGAGCGGTGTGTTCATGGATGTGTTGGGTGAAGAGATAGGGATAGAGATAAGAGGATAACAGGAAAAGAGGATAAGAGATGCCGCACACCTCCCCTTGTGGTACGTTTGTTCTGCTCTGTTGCTCTGCTGCTCTGCTGCTCTGCTGCTCTCTGTTCACCATGCGTATGCGTATCACTATTCAAGGCTTCTCCTTGGCCATGCACCAACTACTTACCGTACCATGAAAAGACTGCTCCCCGACGCACGCGGACCGTTGTTGTCTGCCCAAAGTCCGAACTTGGTGGGAAGAGTTCATCCCACTTGTGCGCATCATCTGACTGCGATCGATCCCATGCATGGCGGGTCTTGTTTGCGGTGGGTCATCCACAGGACTTGGAGCTGGCGCTGCGGCGTTTCGAGAGCGGTGGCCTTAGCGGGATCGTGGAGCTGGAAGTATCCATCGAGTCCGCGAAGAAGACACACTTGCTCGTACAGCGGGCTGGCCTGGGGGTGAGAGCGCAGGCGGTATTGTAGTGGAATGGAAAGGGGGGGAGAGCGCAGGCGGTATTGTAGTGGAATGGAAAGGGGGGGAGACACGTCACGACTATACAGTAGATAAGGATGCAAGATGCAACGGGGTGAGCACGGAGGGCGAAAAGTAGTGCAACGTGGGTATTAATTGTTGATAGTAGGCCCAAGAGCAACGACTTGGTGTTTGTGTGCTTTCTCTCCAGCCCGTCTAGTTTGAACACATGAGTTCACGAAAATGTCTACGTTTCTGAAACATTTTTTTTTTGTTTCAGCTGATTTGGCCAGGTCGACTTTCGTCGTGACCGGTCGCCCCCGACCTCCGCCATAGGCTAGATACTGTACATGGAAAGCCAGCCCCACATGGTATCTTCTTTCCGTGCATTGAGTCCGGACGTGCAGCGAAATTTCCTCGTTCCGTCCAGCAGATCCACGGGCTCTCGCCACCCCATGAACCCTTGGTAAACTCCTCGTACTGTACATTAGTGTTCGGCTCACCCGGCTCCAACAAGCTTGCAGGCACCAAAACGTTGAGTGCTGCTACTGCTGCACGTGCTTGATGCGATCGTTGGACTCGACTCGAGTTGCGAATGTCACCGTGCAGCTCTTTGTTGTTGTTGTTGTTCCTGTTGTATTGTGCGCGGCACATATGTATTTGTAGGTGCACGTTTACATCTATCTACACGGCCGTGGTACGGGTAGTGGAACTGGTAGTAATAGATTTGGCTGGGGGCGCGTGGCTTGGAAACGGCCTTCCAATCCCACTCGGGCATGTGTGTTCGGCCGTAATATATTCCTTCCCCGAAACCAAATATGGTGAAAGTATTCAAGTAGGTTAAATAGCACCGCCCCCCGCCCAACATATTTCATGTTCAGGGTGCCCTGGAACTGTTGTGCAGCTAGCCGTGTCAAACACCGCTGTTTGTGTAAAGACCATGTAGCAATAATCCGAATGTGTCCGAAGTCCTTTTCGATTTTTTTAGTTTTCGACGCGACTGGCTCCTCGCAGGTGGACTCGTTTTCGAATTTGTGGGGAGAGGCGAACGAAGTTGTGAGCCCGGCCAGCTGCACAGGGAGAGTTGTGGCTCACGTGGTGAAGGTGCTGGTGCTAGACCTGTTCGTCAACTACCGGTATTGTGCAGCAACGCGGCGCATGGTGAAGAGCCCTGTCGAGCTCAAGGTGAGCCAGTCCTGCGTACATATCCACTCGAAGATCTGTTACATAGCGTAGATCTGTTGTCTTTTTTTTTATACGGGGCAAGCGACAAAATGCGGCTGCCAACAACGTCGACGATGACGCTAGTGACAGCTGTGTGACAACGAACGAACGACCAAAACGACGGCACACCACACCAGCGACGGAACAGCAGTCGTGGCGGCGACGAAAAATGGGGAAAGTAAACCTTTGTCACCTCGCCCCCGAGTTTCCAGCTAGATGCTAGATGCTAGATGCAATTCCCTCTCCTGTCGTTGAATGGCCACTCTACCACTCTATCCCTCTATCACTCTATCACGCGTCTCCTCTTGTTTCCATGGAGCAATAACGACAACAACAGCAGCAGCAGCAGCAGCAACAACAACAACAACAACAACAACAACAACAACAACAACAACAACAACAAACAACGATAGAAAGACTTGGCAACGATTGGCCACCCAGTGTGTCGACGTGCACTTCGAATCATTCGTTGCTCACGTACACTCCTTGTGGGGGCTTTTCTCGTGTTGTTGTTGTTCTTCAGCCGACCAAGTACCCTCAACCACCTTCCACGCTGGACAAGAACCTTGGGGGAGGGCGGCTCTGCGGCAAGGCTTTCGAGCAGGTACTGTTTGTTTATATGCTTCCAAGTGTAGCCTGTACACTGAATGATAAATGTTACGCGCGTGCGTGCTGTAGCTCGTCTGGCCACCAGAGAGTCTCCCGCTTTTCACGATTGGCATACGGTACGATGCGGTACGGTTCGGTTCGATACGGTACAGCAGTACGTGATTGGAGACTTGTTGACTAGGATCAAGTACTTTTTACTTTTTTCGTGGCTTGTTCTTCTTTTAGTCCTTCCTTTCGCACAGGGGGCGAGGGTTTGTCCGAGCCTTAAGCAAGTTTGTACCTTACAAAAATGCTTGTCCTTGGGACTCTGACCACGGATGGACGATTTCGTTGCCCTGCCTCGGAGCATAAGGAGACGAGACGAGAAGAGAAGAGAATAGAACAGGGCAAAACAAAACAGAATAGGAGGTTTTGGATAGAACCCAGGGCATCTAAATAAAGTGTTGGGCTTATAACAGATTTTTTTCTGTGCTTTCCGGCGCGGGCCGGATTGCTCGAGACACTTCGGGGGAAAACAATGCCGTACACGGTGCAACAGAGTCATTGGTTAAATTCTTGTTGGTATTGCCGTGTGCCGTATGAACCTGCAGTACATAGCTGCTCTTGAACGTTTGTAGCAAGCAATCGTCTTGGTGTAGCTGTGTGTGTCGCGAACGTCTGCGGTGAAAGCTCTCGTCTCGTCTCCTCTTTTTTCCTGCATCGCCGTGCTCGACACCTTCGCTGATTTCTCGCGCACGACGGAAAAAACATCCAATTGATACGCAGTTCCAAGCACTTACAACATGGTACTATTTACTGTCCATCGCAACTTCCACTCTTGCTGCTTTTCTCGCTATGAGAGGCTAACAAACACAACGGTTACCCAGCAGTGCCTCGTTTAGCACATTAAGGCACGAACGCGTGGTTGCCCCTCCCCTGTGGTGTTCAGATTTTTTCTGTCGGGCGAGGGTTCGTCGGAGGGACGCACTTGTCGGCTATGGTCCGGCTGTTGGGTCATACGGACCTGCCCCTCGTGGTGGAGACCATCATAGAGCACATGCGCCAAAAGGTAAGTAATTGCACCTCTGTTGTATTTCATTACTCGCTGGCAAGTTCGCGATCATCGAGCATATCTTCTGTATGTGTGAAACATGTTGGTGCTGCTACTGCTGCACACACCTCGCAGAGCCGTGTGGCGTTATCGTTAGTGTAGTCGTGGCTCATCCCTTGCTGACGAAACGTATCAAGCCATGGAAAATCTCGAATCAACCGGTTCTTTTTGTCCGATACTGCAGACCTCAACCGAGAAGACCTTTCGATCAGTAGACCCGCCACTCATGGCACTCCCCGATACTATAATACTACTACAAATTGATGATACCGAAGTACCAATTATTCATTACATAGGTTAAACAACTGTGTGTGGAACTTCGGTGTGCTGAATCAGATGTTGACCATGCTCGTATGTGCAGACTATTGATGGATGTGATGAATCACGTGTTGACCATGCTTTGTGTATTGGTCGTTGTCGTGAATCAGATGTTGGACATCAAGGACTGGACTGACGCGTTGAAGGGAGGCTTGCCCCCGGTGAAGCTGCCGAAGTACGTCTTCGGCACGGCAGGGTGTTATTCCTTCATGGAGGAGAAGCTAAGGCCATTCCTAGAGTACGAGGACCTCAAGGCCGGGGTATTCCAGGTAATTTTGGGTCTCGACAACGACAACGACAATTTTCTTTTTTTCACGCAGGGTTGTTGACTCGGAGGAGAAGGGCATGCGACCTCCCAGCACAGGATTCCAACTTGGTCCGCCTCAAAGGTTATCTCCCAATAAGTTTGCGGTCGTTGGTATTGTTGGCGCGGTACGCGCTCAACTTGGACGAAGTGTAGAGGTGTAGAGAGGGGAGAAGGCGAGGGAGGAGACACCATCTGGTAGGGAAGTGCTAATTGTTGTTTTAGAGGGGTGCTTGTCTTTTTTGTTTGGTGGGATAAAGAAATACGCCAGTTGGAGATGAAGGGATGAACAACTTGCGAGCTGTGCAGAAATGGATGGTGAAAACATGTGGACCCTTTGAAGCCGTGCAGTAATTTGAAGCAGAATCCATCCGCAAATCGACAGCACAGTGTGAGTTATCCTCTATTGAAACGTAATGTTTCACCGGGTGTTTCCCAAAGGTGAAAAAGGGAGTTCAAGGAAATCACCGCACAAGGGACGCCAGGCAATCAACTTAACTATTCAAGCACCTACCGCACTAGTTGACGTGAGTGTCATGGTCGGCGCCTTGGTCATGCGAAGGAAGCTAAGTATCAATTGTGGAGGTTGGATGTCATCGCATCGGAAGGCGTTCGTGGGTTAGGCCTTCTGGAGGAATGGAAGAACTCGTGACACTCGAGGAAGCTAGCTCATGCTGGCGCGCACCTCTTAGAGCAGGGCTTTGAGTCTGACCCACATGCAGCAGCCCACCTTCACAGTAGCACACGCCCAGTTCCCCCCCCGCATGCAAATACACAGCAGTATACTAGAGCTTGAATCGCCCGCGCATACCCTCGAGTAAATCCTCGCACATGTCAGCCGCACCAACCTTACCCCCCCCCCCCCCCCCCCCCCCTCCC